AATTGTGAATTTCAAGGCCCCAGGGTCAGGGATGGGGGTTGGGCTCTACTTATATACTGAAAATGAATTAATTGTTTGAAATCTGCTCCTTTGTATTTATAAAACATTCATTTTTTTTTATTGGCAATTTTAAGGGTGCCTTTTTAAAATAAACCTAGGGTCAGGGGTTTATTTCACAGTGTTAAGGGCACTGCTGATTATTGCTGAATATTACTGATTAGTTGGAATGCATTTTTGTTCCCCTACCTTGCATATGGATATTCAGTACCCTGCGAGGTGATCATGAATAATTCATGAATTTCCTTGAATTTTTCATGAATTTTATTCATGAAATGTTCATGAAACATTCATGAAGATCCTATGAACTTATTATTGGACATTTTCAAATCAATTAACCAAGCTAAGCAACTGCTAAGTGTATTGATATGATGATCAATGGTGCCTCTTTCAAAATTGTGAATGCCATATAGCATCTGGCTTAAAACATGAATCAAATTCAATATCTGGAAAGTTGTTGCAGAATGCTCAGGTGACCTATAAGGCCCGTGGGCCTCTTGTTGTAGATCGCAAATAATTTCCATGAAGTCATTTTCAGTTGATTCCGGATCTCGGTTACTTGATACATCATTCCCACCCGCCTGAATGACAATATTACGGAAGGGCGACACATCCATTTTGGCCAATTTTGCTTTTATATGCGATACCTTGGCTCCTCTGTTTGTAGAAACTTTCACAGATTTTTTAAATCAACGAGTTCTCACTCTTTGCAGGATTGAACTTCCAATTATGAGGGATGATCCACTTCGTAATTGTAGTTCTTCTTCTTTTTTTGTTGTGTTTTGGGCTTTGGGTGTTTCCTCATCTAATTTTACACTTCTGTGGGGCATATGTCTGTGTTTGTGCTCGTTTCAGTCATACTTTTAATGGTGTTGCACTGCACATGTCTAGAAATGCCGCTAGACAACGTTGTAAACCTCTCTGTAGATGTCTCCTTATATTTGACTGCCAAAATAAAATACTTATTTACTTATGTAGAGAAAGAAAGTCCTAGCCCTAACCGTTCAGAAATTATGGTCATAGTTCTTGCTTTCATATGAAAGCACTAGCCCCAGCCCTTTAAAAATTATGGTCAAGGTTTCCTTTTTTAAGGTAAGTCAATTTAGAAGGTCAGAGGGTCAAAGTTCGTGGTATCCAAAGAAGGGTCTTCTCACAAGGATTACATATATGAAGTATGAAGTCCATATCCCTTACCGTTCAAACGTTATTGCTAAGGTTAAAGTATTTGTTCACAAGTACGAAAATGTATAAGTCAAGGTCATAGGGTTAAGGTTGTTGGTATCCAATGAAAGGTCTTTTAACAAAGATGAAATATGTGAAGCATAAATGTCTTGGAATCTAATGTTCAAAAGATATGGCTAAAGTAAACGTTTTGAAATATTCATGTAAAAGCGGGTCAAAGTCCACTGTCAAATTTGGTGGTACTCAAAGAAATACACAAGTGAAATATGAAACACATAGCTGCACTAAATTAAAGGTTATGGGCAAAGTTAGAATTTTAGCGGACAAACAGAGACAGACAGATGGACACGACAAAAACTATACACCCACAAAACTTCGATTGAGTCCAGGCACAAACATACAAGTGTCCGATAAGAGGAACACCGACGGATCGGAGTTTTTCCTAGTCATTCCCAGTGTCATTTTCAAAGTGCGGGGTCTTTTTTTGACAAAACAATTGTTGGAGGTTTACAGAACCGATTCCCCTGCGTTATTTGATTTTGCAGCGTTCTTGCGTTGAGTTCGATTAACCTTTCGGTGTGTGATTTTCTAGATCGCAGGTATATCGTTTTATAAGCATCGTGTTCACGGAGTTTTCTTTTCTCGAGTAAAACTGATATTATCTCCTGAAGTGTGAAAAAAGATATTTTTTTCGAGCCCGGTTTACCAAATCTACTCTTTAACTCTGTCGCTGCTAAGACTGACAGGCTCTTCGAGATCAAAATTAATAATTATATACTAGTATCTTGCCCTCTAGATAAGATCTTCCTGTTCCCCCATATAGCTTACACAGGATGAGAACCCATCATTCAGTCGACTAAAGAGTCACTGAAAAGACCTTTTCCCGTGATCATTCAGTTACCAATCAGCCGTTTCTTAACTGTCAAAACCGTAGGATGTTTAAGCTTTCGATAAACTTCGGTATTTTTATAAATTGTGATTCGACTATCGGATCATCATTTTTTATTCGACTATCGGATCATCATTTTTTTAAGGTCTTCAGCCCGTAATGCATTTTAATCTGCACATTTTCAAAAGTGACAATTTTATCTCAACACAATTTTAAAAAAAATTAAAAAAAACAATACTTGTTGTTACACTCCAATAGTTGTACAAAGGGGCATAACTTGTGTTAATTTATTGAATTACAAATCATTATTTACCATTTACAAGTTGCGAATTCATGTACAACTATACTGACGGTTATGAATGAAAATTAATTTTAACAATATACATACATTCAGAGTGGTCAGCACGGATGAATTGAGGGAGATTGAGCCTTTCCACAACGAGACCTCCACACAATTCGCTGTCAGTCTGTGGGTGGGAGGGCTAAATCCACGCTCTACCCCCAGAGTTTACATGTGAAACTGGATCCCTCCAGCGATTCTATCAGCAGCTCCCGTCGTTTTGAGTTCGGGGATTCAATGATGTCAGAAGCTTGCAAATATTAATGAAAGACATAATTTAAAGTGAGATTTTTTTCCAGTGTCATTTTCACTATGCAAAGTAGCTGCAGATCTGTAGTGTTATGGTTTTATGTATTTGTCTTTGACCATAAAGATCAAACAAAAATATATAAAACCATAACGCTACAGATCTGCAGCTATATACAAAGGTGAAACACAGAATATCATTTTTAATTCAAATCTTACTTTTATATCAAACATTTTTATGATGTGATGTTTTATGATGCTTTTAATATGTGTTTGTTTAAATGGAGGGGGCACCTTTCTCAATTTTCTATAATGCAAATGCTTAAAATTTCCTTATCAATTTTATGTAAATGAAAGAAAAATGCTATCATTTTTACTGCTCAAATGTTATATCTGTTTGATCTGTATTTTGTAGTGAACTGACAAAAGTAAACTTTATGGTCTTTGAATTAAAAGCATAAGTTTGAATTCAATTCATTAACTTACTCTTTTCAGGATCCCCTTAACCGAGACAGTTCTTTTAGTCGGAAAAAGTAGAATCTCATTCACAGTTTGAGTTGGGGGGTGCAGAAACCTGTCAATGGTGTTTTGGTTCAGTGCAAACTTGCCACACTGGAAGACCTTAAATATAAGAATTTGCAGGTTTTAAATGTATGATATAAATTATTGATATGCTTTGTGTGTGTTTTCTTAGCTTACCTGAGCTGAAAGTTTTAAGTGAGCTTTTCTGATCACTCATTGTCTGTGAACTTTTCACGTTTTCAACTTTTTCTGAAGAACCACAGGGCCAATTTTAACCAGACTTGGAACAAAGCAACGTGGGGTAAAGGGAAATTTAAATTATTTGAAATCAAGGGCCAAGTCCCCTTACAAGGGGAGATAATAAAAAAATTCAAAAATAGGGTGGGGTCATTAAATAAAATCTCAAGAAATACAGGGCCAGAAAAGCTGAAACATGTTGAATCATACCGAGGTTACTGTAAATTCTGAATTGTTCAAATCATGATCCCCTCGGATGGGCCACAACAGGGTATCCAAGTTTTTCATAGAAATATCAAATATCATCTTTTCAAGAACCACTGGGCCAGAAAAGCTGAAACTTCTGTTGAAGCATCCTAGGGTATTGTAAATTCTAAATAAAAAGTAACACAGGATGAAATCCCACCATTCAGTCGACTGAATGTAGGCTGAAAGGTGACTGAATTGTTATGGAATGGTCACTGATAAAGTACTTTTCCATTAGCATTCAGTGACCATTCAGCTTTCATTCAGTCAACTGAATGGCAGGAACATTTCAGTGACCTTTCAGCCAACTTTCAGTGACATTTCAGCCAACGTTCAGTGACCTTTCAGCCAACTTTCAGTGACCTTTCAGCCAACTTTCAGTGACCTTTCAGCCAACTTTCAGTGACCTTTCAGCCAACTTTCAGTGACCTTTCAGCCAACTTTCAGTGACCTTTCAGCCAACTTTCAGTGACCTTTCAACCAACTTTCAGTGACCTTTCAGCCAACTTTCAGTGACCTTTCAGCCAACTTTCAGTGACCTTTCAGCCAACTTTCAGTGACCTTTCAGCCAACTTTCAGTGACCTTTCAACCAACTTTCAGTGACCTTTCAACCAACTTTCAGTGACCTTTCAGCCAACGTTCAGTGACTTTTCAGCCAACTTTCAGTGACCTTTCAGTGACCATTTAGCCAACTTTCAGTGACCATTTAGCCAACTTTCAGTGACCATTCAGCCAACTTTCAATGACCTTTCAGAGATCATTCCACCAACTTTCAGTGACCTATCTGTCAACTTTCAGTGACCATTCCACTAACTTTCAGTGACTATTCGGCCAACTTTCTGCGACCATTCAGATGTTTTCAACTCAATTTTTTTATGAGGGAGGGGGGGGGGGATGAAATCTAAGTCATTTTTTGCAACCATTTGGTTTCTCTACAATGATCATACAGTCCTCAGTAATGGATGTTTCACCAATAGTATAGAGGCAACTAAAGCTTTGTCCTCCTTCATCTTTTTTAAGAATCATACACTGGTTTCAAAGCCAAATTTAAGTAATATTTAACCATAAATTCTGATTTATTGAATAACGCATGGGATTATATGAGTGTCTTATATACTTTAGAGGCTATTTCAGGGAAAAATAATTTCCCCTTAACTATCATTCCATTTTTTTTCAAATAAACAGCAGACACTTTGGCTTTTACAAAAATTACGTAACTCATTAATTTTCTAGTATCACAAAAACAAAAATGATATGAATGATATTTTATTTTGTTCCTGCATAAGTTATATAAGCTGTGCAATGTTTTTGATATAATATTTCATGAACAAATCAATACTCAATTTTTAAATTTCATTTGTATGATCTGTACAACAAGTTTAAATAAATAAATAAATATTGAAATAAATAAGATAAAAACATAACTATCACTACACTGAAGACGAAAAACAACACATCTTATCATGCCAAATTTTAAACAGGGCAAATGTATTTATTTCACTTATTTCCTTAAATAATAACAAATGTTCAATGATTAACTTTGATATTTTGTGAAACACTGTTAATAAAATAATAATAGATAAAAAAACAATTAAATAACAGTACAAAAATAAGTTGAATTATTCATGTTTTGGAGTAGCACTATGACAAGAGAGTACATCAAGAAATCTTGATTTCTACTCCAAAAGCATGCTAGACTATCAAAAAAAAAAATTATTTTAACCTTTTGAAAAAAAATTCAATTAATTTGCACACTCGAATTAATAATTCTGTCATAAGGCCTTTAACGTTCCTCCTCCTCCCTCAGAATAAAGCCAGGGCAGCCTTGCGGTGCAGGCCTCATGGAGGGCAATTCCACCACTCGTCTCTTCTTTACCTGTCGAAGATGTTGAGGAGAGAGTTTGGATTTGTGGGCCTCCTCTAAATTGTCTTTTACTTTTTTGAATGCCTCTGTCTGCCATGGGAGGCGCCTGACTTTGAAAGAAACAAAGACACCTTCACTGTCAACGTCCGACTCCTCCGACGACATGTACTCTGGGCTTAGTACACTGGCAAGTTTCTTCTTATCCAGTCCTTCCAGCTTGTCGTCTTTTGCTGTCTTCAGCGACTGCTTGAGTCTGCCTGCTCTCTGAAATCAGAAATAATGACATTTTTTAATTTAAAAATGAGCATGCTTTTGGTGAAAACAAAGAGCAATTAAAATTGATAAGATTAAGATTTAACATTTGATTTAAATGAAATTGTTGGTAGCATCTGTAAAACACAATAGTGCCCATATGTACGATATTATGCTTATAGTGCGTTAATCTCCATTATTCTATAGCTTTAGAATGTATTCAAAACTTAAATGATGCCAGATAAATATGAAGTTGAAATCGGATTTGTGCAACAAATTATAATTAAAAACTGATATCAAAATTTAATTAAAAATGTAAGGTAGGGACAGACTCATTAATGAATAAGAAGATGACATCTGAATTGAACACATGGCATGCAAAGAATATGCTAAAAAATCAAGCATGTAATGAGCAGATGCTAATAATAATGTTAAAAAAATTTGTTACGGACAGGGTGACAGACACACAAGGGTAAAACAGTACTACCCCCTCTCCTTAGGAGCTGGGTAGAAATAGGGAAAACCTAAATAAGCTAGTACTTTTAATATCTTTAACATCAAAAACATTAAGTAACGGAAGATAAAATTGAGATGGTTGCTATCTCCAAGGACCTCACTTTCTACATAGATAATGAAAATGTAAGGTAGCTGAAAAGGGTTTATTTTGAAGAGGAACATTTGTGTACTATTTAATTATGTGACATTGAAGTTTAAAAATGTAAATTCTCTCTGAAAAAATATTAATGAAAAAAAGAAGAAATATTTTCTCTTGGAAAATTCTTGTTACAAAGTTCTGTATCCTGAAGTAAAGCTAAAGGCTGACTGGACTCAAGGGAAAGAAATTATGTACCAAATACTTTAAATAGAGAGACTATTTTTGACCTTGGGCCTTGACCTTAAAACTTTGATTAAGGTCACTGCACATCCATTGACCAGTTGCACACTTTCAATCAAGTATGAGCCACAATGTACCAGCAAAAAGAATATATGTTAAGACAAGAATTATTCATATGACTCTTCTTTGACCTTAACCCAGACCTAGAAAAATGGTTCATAATCACTGCACGCCCTTTATCGAAAGACACTCTGTGAGTGACGCATGAGATAGATTGGCCAAGGTGAGAGAAGATATGCTATGGCCCAAGGATCATGAAACATACTTAGACTTCAGTCAGATTTTCAAATACCTGTAAAATGTTTATCAAATATTGAATTGATCTAAAATTTCGTGAATAACAACATATTTATGAATCAAAATTTAAAAACATTTCAATTTTGATATGATAACCTTCTATAAAATTTAAGTACAGAATGAAGATTTTGACTTAAGATGTTTCATGATCCTGGGCCAGGAGAAGAGATCTCGGATGGACAGAGTGATCACAATAGGGCATGCTCAGAGCGGGTGCTTGATTCAATATTAGTGTATGAGGAGGATATGGAAATTACGAACAGTATTCAATCTCAACGTCCATTAAACAAATATACAAAATAAGAGCAGAGCAAACACGGACCTCAGAAATATCAGAGGTGGGATCAGGTGCCATGGAGGAGTGAGCATCCCCTGTATGTATTGAAATTAAGACTATTCCAGGAAGTATTGAAAGTAAATTTTGATGGAATTGCCTTGTACATATTTAAATGTTTTACGAAGAAATATCTGTCATTAGTGCACCCATTTTTTTCTCCATTTGTTAGTTACTGTTCTTTTATGAAAAAACATGGTGTGATCTTCATTTGAATTTATCTTTATTATTTCCTTTTCCGTTGATTGCTGTTTGGCAAGTTTAGTGGAGAAATTGAAAAATATCAACACATGTCTGCAGAGATCAAAAGCCAAAGATTTTGTAGGAAATAAAAAAGAAATAGCACTCACTTCGCGTCTCCTGCTTTGCCTTCTACTTCTGTCCGCATGATCTTTGTCCTTTCCAGATTCTTTTCTCCTTGCTGAGTCTCTAAGAGATATGTAATATATCTTGCTAGCACCTAAGGATATAATATATATACTGATTATTTTCTGCATAGCTTACACTTTTTCTTCTCAAACATACATCTGATTCTGTAACCCATTCTTTATTAATACACAGTTATTATCAAACTTAAACTCTGAGGGAAAAAAACCCTTGCACAAAGCTTGCAATCAAAATGACCCTGTAAGTTATCATCATATATTCCTTAGTAAGACATGAACTTTTACATGACCCCACTGAAAACTGGATGCCAAAATTTCTTACTTATTTACACCATCATCCTTCCCAACAAGGTCATGTTAAGAGTACCATTTTGAAAATATTTCAATAAATCTCACATTTAAGTAACCACGACAACACTGTTCATGGAAATGAAAAAATAAAACGATACACAGTATTATGTATTCAAGTTTATTCTACTTGTCTGCTAATTTATTTTGACTGTGAAGGAATTGCATTTTGAGACAGATGGGAATAAAAAAAAATATCCAGCTACAGT